TTAAAAAAATCAACAGCACTGAGACTTTCCCTCTATTCATGTTCTCCTTTCACCTCCACCCTATATTTCTCCTGCCCATGAAAGGTTTACTTCTTTTTTATGGTTATTTTTTTTAAAGTAAACTTCTTGAGAGAGTGTGACATAAACTCTAGGCTCTGGTGAGCTGGTTCCAGTGCATCTTTGCAGCCTCCTCTCATCTTCTCTCCATTTCATTGTCTTGGCCCTACCTGGTGGGATTCTGTCTGTGCCTCCATGTGCTCTGCTCTGTCCCACCTCGGGGATTCTGTACTGGCTGGTCTGTCTGCAAGGGACACTCCTTTCTCCTCTGTTTTATAATGGCTCCTTTGGTTACTTCAAGAATTTACAGACTGTTTCAATTCTCTCCAGCCACCTTCATGGTTCAGCTGAATAATCTCTTTTAACCTTGACACTTAGAAAAGAAAAAAAGGCAAATGATGTGTCAGGTGCACAGCAGATCCTGTGATTAGACTAGAAGATGACTTATTTGGAACTTACCTGCTAATGGCTCTTCCAGGAACATGGCTCAGCCGTGTGGCTCTGAATCTTTCCAGACCCAAAGAGAAACTGGGGGGAAAGTTTGATCAAAGTTTCGACCTTTGTTATCACCCCATCTTCTCCATTAGAGCAGGACCAGTTTTATGTTGGCCCCTCTTTCCTAAGGCTGTTCTATCAGAAGAATTGGGGTGAAAGGCTTATTTCTCATTGACTATTTGATCCTAAAGATGGAGGCAGAAGAGAGAGGGAGTCTAAATTTTACTGGCTCAACTACTTTTTCATGTATAATAGTCTCTTATTCTACATTCCACCCAAAGAGGGCCTTTGACGAGAACTTGGGAGGAGGAACTCTTTTTGGGAGATGACCCAGGAAACCTGAAATAATGAGGAACATGAGACGTTGAAGGGAGAAAAGGAGTAGAGGGTATATTAATGGCTGGTTTCCACTGTAGGCAGCCGGGGCTCCATCCCTCTGAAGAATCATGGAGAATAAGCCTCAGAATTGTCCCGTGAAAGGACAGGGCGGCTGGGACATCTAGCTACCAACTCGGCACTTCCTTGGCAGGGGTCACCCCCGTAATCTGCACTATCCCCCCACTTCTCCACTGTACTGAACCTGGGCTGAGGACATTCCACTGCTTCAGAGAAAGTCCTAAAGCAGAATAACAGAGATGTAAACTTTGGGGTTCAGGGGCACAATCATGAAACGGTCCACCGGAGCAATGCAGAGATCAGCTGGGTCAAAGGCTGTGGTAAGGGAACCCTAAGTGTATGCTACAAGCCAGATGTCAGCTGCAACTCTCCTCACTGTGGTTACACTAAAGTGTCTATGTGACAGGTATCAGGAGGTCAAAGGCAGTAAGAGGGAGACTTCTCTTTGTGAAATTCACAATGGTAATGAAGAAGAACCTATGCCACCACTCTTGGAACCCCTTCATTCATCCATGGTTAGAGAGTTGGGAGAGGGAGATTGGAAAGAGATTTCTTTGGAAGTAGAGTAAGTCCTCACTTAATATCGTTGATAGGTTTAGAGACTAAGCAAAACCATGTATAACGAAACCAGTTTTACTACAGTCTAATTAATATAAATAAGACTTAAGTTTTTTATTTTCACCAACATGTTTATGAAACAACTTTGAACAAAACATCATTATTTAAAGACCTGCTATAACTGTTACTTTATTGTGAATTCTCATTTCCTCCCCCAAAGGATAGATGATTTTTTATCTCTGACCAGAAGACAGGTGAGGGGGACTTCAAGGAAAGGACTTGAAGAACTTCAAAATATGTGCCCTGCTGTTGAGGATCTGTGGAAACGGGAGCCTAAAACTGGCCTGGGAGAGCTAAAAACCATTGCAGATTGAGATCTGACTCCTGTGAGACAGCTGGGAGTGCGATGTGGTGTTGTAGATTTTGGAATCCGTCAGGGTGAGAAATGTTGGGCAACTGGTGGCCACCCATGAGACAACCTGCTTGGTTGGCCTGGGTGCTATACAGTGGGGACAGACGGAGGGGAGAGAAGAGATGAGATGTATGGCCAAGGTGTCCAGGGTTTGAGGAAGGAGTTTCAAAGGACCACCCAGAATAGAGATACATTCACCCTGAGTGAAGGGTAGAAGAGAGGGAACCAGTGGAATCTCTTAAGAACCCATACAACTGTCCTTCAAGGGAAAAGAGTTCATCTTAACCATCAGCCAGACCTGCAGAGAGCAAAACCATTCAGCTAGATAAGAACAATTTCATCACCTCACCCTGTCCGCCTACCCTCCTGGACAAGGGGACAGGAGTTGGGGGAGGTGATTTGAGGGATGTGGTTAGGATTAGGGTTAGGGTTAGGGGTGGAGGAGCAAGCTGATAGCAAAGAGGAGCTTCCTCCTCTTCTCCCATTGTAGGCTTCTGCAAGAAACAGACTCACACTGGGACAAGTTTGATTCTAATTCAAGTTTGGAATTTTGTATATTACATAGCACAGAAAGTTCTCATTTCTGAACTGAGACCAGAAACCAAGGCCAGAGTTCTTACCTGGGGCAGGGAAGACTATTTCACTGAGTAAGATTAATGAGGCAGTAAGAAGCAGAAATGGGGTTACATTGTGATCACAATCTATGAGCTAGAATGAAAATCAGATTTTCAGAGCACTTGAAAATCGTGCCCTGAAAAGTACTTTGTCCACACTAGACTGGGAGGGCTTAGTGAGGATGGGGGCAGGGGGCTGAAATTACTTTTCTCAAAAGACATAATTCACTGTTTCTGGAGATGGGGTTAATTAATCTGAACAGTTACCTTTTGGCTGACCAGCACATTCACTGTGGCAGCAATGAAGGTGCCCCTGGACCTCCTTTCAAGAGAGAACTTCAGGAGGTGCAGTTAGTTAACTGACAGCCTCCAGCTGCAGGGCCTGCAGGGCCCAGGCAGTGACCATGCGCAGTGAGGGTGCTGGCTCTAAGCTT